CACTGCTGTGAACTGACCACACAAAATATGAAATATATCAAAAACTTTAGGAGTCAGCTGTCCACGGTAGTCCTTAACATATCAGCACAATAACACACTAAGTTTTGCATCACATAACCATGTGTATATAGTAAACTTATTCGGTTATACTAACAGTATATTAACACTTATATGACTGCACTCTACGTAAGCGGCGCAATGCAACACTGACAGTAAACTGATGCCCCGTTTTATTTATGATGTACTCCATGCGCTGGCGGTATTTCTGACAACAGTACAAATGGATTCAAACTTTAGGTTTGACGCGCCTAGTGTAGACAGCCTCAAACTGTTGGTTTATTTCTGTCTCTTTTTTTCTTTTCTTTTCTTTTCTTTTCTTTTTTTTTTTGGCTAGTAGACGTTATGAATGGCCGGTAACTTAAATCATCTCCCCGCACGCACCGTGACATATATATATGTTAATAATGTTATATATATATATATATATACAGTATATATATTACTGTATCTATGTAATGCTTATTAGAGCATGGAATTGTTAGCCAAGAGTTGAGTCTCCTGTGTACTTCATATGAGTAGCATTACTTATATTGCATATTATGTACTTATATTGCAATTATGTAGTTGCTGCCAATGTAGAGCATTCAAATAAGTCTGTTTAAGTCTGTTTTGAGGTTCCAGTTCACTTAGAAGGCACACTCAAAAAAATTATATGTTGGCCTTACTTAACTTTATGTCAACAGGTTCCACGTAACTGAGTTAGGTTGCATTTAAGTAACAATATTGATTTTAGTGAACTTAAGTTAATTACATAAAGTTAATACAATGTTGTTTAGTTGAATCAACTTAACATTCTTGACTTCGTTTTAATCTATTAAGTTAATCAAGTTCAATTATTCTAAAATTATTATGGTCACATTCGAGCAAAACCAATAATACAGTTTCATTGAGTTTATTCAATAAATACATTCAACTTTTTTTTTACAACTTTTACAAATTTTTCCAAGAATAATAATTTGCACAAAATCTAAAGACTGCCTTCACTTTTTTAATCAGTAATCTTATCTTATTACAAGAAAAGTGTAAAAAAAAAGCATACTAATAAAAAACAAAAGCATGGATTTTAGGTAGGATTTACAAAATAGTCTTCTTTTGTAATGAAAATGCATCAATTATTCAAAGCAAGACCAACGTTGAAAGGAATGTAACATGTTCAGTACCGAAAAACAAATGTACTGCAACAGCCAACAGTACAACATTATTCGTAAAGGTCTGTAGCATCTGTATGACGACATAGATTCCCAGCGTGGTGTTGCACGTTGAGGTTAGGGCTTCAACATGTTCAACATTCTAAAAATGTCAAAAAAAAAAACAATTACCAGCAGATCAAGGGTCAAAGAAGTTGGTTTTGGAGAAACATACAATAGGTTTTAATGAAAAAGGTAAATAACCTACCATGTACTCCTTCACAAGGTTTGAGGGGTCTTCCTTCAGGCAGACAGCCAGGGCTTTCAGGATGCATTCACATTTTTTGCTGATGGAGACATTCTGAATATGTAATGGGCGTGACAGACTGGTGGTCGGCTTCAGTGGCGTGGCAGGCGGACAGACGCTGGGAAATTCTGTTGGCCCTTTGCATGAAGCTTTCCAGTCCAACGGTGTCATCATAGATAGCCATTTGAGCTTGTACATGGGGATTCAATCCTTGCCGGTAAGAGCTAATTAGGGTATCCTGGCTGGTGACTGCAGTGACTGTGATGAACACAACTCTGCTGCTGAGAAATTTGATAAAGCTACAAACAAGCCCAGAAATTAAAACAGTATGAATTATGCACATATGAACATTTTAGCTTATGCTGTATATACTCCAGGCTTTAAAGGGATAATTCACCAAAAGAAAATGTATCATTATCAGTTATTTTATCTTTTAGACTTCCTTACATAAAATGCAAAATGTGGTTAGTTTGTCCTGCTCATTTCTGATGATAAAATGACAGTCAAGGGTGAGTTTCTCTTCTGAAGCTTCAAAAGCATCAAACAATTACATGTTACATTTGAAGATTCAGAACAGGAATTCACCATTGACTTTTATTGTGTACACAAAAAAAAGAGCAGGACAAATTGGCCAAAATGCATCATTTTAGTTCAGGCAAGGCAAAAAAAAAAAAAAGATGTAAGAGGTTCAACGACATGAGGCTGAGTAAATGATGACCGAATTTTCAATTTTCATCTTTATATTATTTTAACCTATTATGAATTATTGTCAGATTTAAAATGACAGTGAATTTAGATAACATACCTGAGCCATAACTGACAGGATGTATGTGATCTTCTGTGCTGCTGCTGCTCCTTTCTTTGGTTTGAGAAATGATCAAGCAGTCCCATATATTTGGAGACCAAAGGGATTGTTGTAATCCAACTGAATTTCACAGATACCTAATACAGTTTTAAAAGGACAAATCAGGTTGGCTGCTGATAAATTTGGGACAAACCTTAAAATAACAGCACTTACAGATTACATACAAAATTATTACAAATTAACACATATCTGAATTACATCTAAACTTCAATACATAATTTAGAATTACAAAAATATCCAAGTAATTCATCACAGCTGACATTACAAAGACTTACCTCTTGCTCTATAAAGAGTGCTGGATTTGATCTGGATGTGTGAGAGGCTCATGGGAGTTTTACTTACTCAAAGTTGTTCTAAGGGCAGAAAGGAAAATGATTGGTTGAAAGATTCAACCAATGAAATTGGATCAGAGGCGGGGTCAAGACATTTGGAAATTTGGAGGGAATCTACAGAGATACGTTATCGACTGCTCGTCGGAGATCGCATTTATTGTAAGGTAAGTGAATTTACGATATATTTTATTAAAAATCACAAATAAACAGCCTCTAATGTTTACTAAGATAATTGGGGAACATTGAAAATGCACAAAACTAATAATCATCGTCTAAATATCCGATCGTATGCATTTTGATTCGACTGCTTCAGTTCACCGCACCAAAGCTGCTAATGGGATAACTGGGGTAAAACATGCTTTTCCAGTGCTAACTTACTCCGCTGTCTGTGAAGCCGATATATGCGATCACATAACTCGTTCAAGCCTCAGCAACATTTCATCAGTCAACATTATACATCTACCGCCCTAGCGCTGCGAGCAGGAGCATTCAATAGTTTCATATCGCTGTTATTTTTAGTCTACTATATGCTGTTCTCAGAGCAGGAGCACTCAATAGTTTCATATCGCTGTTATTTTTAGTCTACTATATGCTGTTCTCAGAGCAGGAGCACTCAATAGTTTCATATCGCTGTTATTTTTAGTCTACTATATGCTGTTCTCAGAGCAGGAGCACTCAATAGTTTCATATCGCTGTTATTTTTAGTCTACTATATGTGCATCTCAATAAATTAGAATGTCGTGGAAAAGTTCATTTATTTAA